AAAGACGTGAAAACCAACGTTGTGATGCCGAGCCTAGCTGACTAAGATTATTCGTACTGCCCGGTGTTATCCCAAGCTTAGCTGACCAATAGTAGTGACCACCCGGTTTCACCCAACCCTAGCAAGCTAAGACTAGTCGTACTGCCCGGTGTTATCCCAAGCTTAGCTGACCAATAGTAGTGACCACCCGGTTTCACCCAACCTTAGCTAGCTAAGACTAGTCGTACTGCCCGGTGTTATCCCAAGCTTAGCTGACCAATAGTAGTGACCACCCGGTTTCACCCAACCTTAGCTGGTCAAGACTAGTAGCAACCCCCCCCCTCCCGGTGTTATCACAATTCAAACTGCCACGTCCAACTACAGGTAGTCTATTAGAAACATAATATACACAGTAACACTACAAGTAATATACACATGATATACTAACTAATGTACACTACAGGTACCCTCCTAGGAACTAACGTACGAGCAAGAACCATCTGTCCCACGTGTGAGCCGCCAGCGACACAACGGTCAGGCATGAAAATGACCGGTAAAGAAAAACACTGAAAACCCCCGAGGCAGGGGGGGGGGAGGGGTACCCCCTCCCACGGTAAGGAGATTTTTTAATTTTGGGGATCAGAATCATGCAATCTGGTGCATTCTGTAATGAGATTTTTAACCTTATATTTAAAGAGAATCTGCTAATTCCATATAGCAGAACACATACCGAAACAGGATCTGTAGAATAGAATCCATAGAATAGAATACACGCAATGTACGTCCACACGCCAGAACCAGCGTGCAACCCAGGGTACAGGTCCCCCAGGGACCCCAGGTCGCGGCCGCACTGTTTGTCGCAGAGCGTGTACATTGTCTAGCAGAGCGTGAGGCCGGATACCAGTCTACCCTTCGGCAAAAACTGGTGGCTTGCTGCCAGCCGCAATAGATGATCAATAAACCGTGCGCCTGTACATATGCCCGTGGTAGAATAAAATGCTGCACATGAACTCGGAAAAAAACGGAAAACGCGGAAACAATTCTGGGATCGGGAAAAAAGCGAAAATCCGCGGAAACGCGGAAAATTTTCATGCCTGAACGGTAACACGTGGAAGCACATAGATCGTAAGGTGGACGTAGGCGAGCTAACATCGTAGCTTCGTTAATCCGCGTAGTTAGTTCGTTAGTTCGACCGGCTAACTTACTTGCAGCGTTGAGAAGGTTCAGCATTGTCTGCTCTGCTCTCTGCAGCAGCTCACTAACGAGCTCCTCAAACTTCTCCCTGTAACGAGATCGAGATTGTCGCATTTTCGCACGGCCGCAACCGTGCGTGAACTGTGTTGTGTGGACACAGAACATCACAAATCCATGGCAAGAAAATCACAAAAGCTTGCTTAAAACCAAGCTTTACATTGTTGCGCTGCTGCTGCTGCTTCTGCTACTCCTGCCACTACTACTACTACTGACTCTAGCATCCTCCACGCTACTACTCGCTCGCTCGCGACCGTCACCACGGTTACCTCGAGAAGTGAGCGGTGACGTCGACGTCGTTCATGAAGCACTCGACGTGCATCGGGATGTCCGTCGAGTTGGCGCTCATCAGCTTCTTCAGCTTCTCGCACTCGTCCGTCAGCCGCACAATCGCGCGCTTGTTCGTGCGCGCGTCCAGCCGGTAGCGCTTCTTGAAGTCCTCCGTGAAGTGGTCGGTGAGCGCGAGCGTGAAGTCCCGCCCGCCCAGGTTCGGGTCCGACGCGACCGCGAGCACCTGAAGTCGGAAATTTTCGTCGGACGATTCGTAAATTTTTTACCTTTTTTTTTATCGTTCGCCTTTCCGTTTTTTAATCTATCGTTTATTTATTCCAGTTTGCCTTGCGACAAATGGAAATCGTAAATTTCGTCGACAGTTTGTAAATTTTAAAGCCGTTTTCGTCGTTGGTCGTTTAACATTGCACCTGCCGTCGCCCAACCAGCATCACTATACGAGGCTCTAAACGCGACACTTAGCGACACAGGACTTGTCGAGCGGTCAGACATTTTATACATTTTACCGTTTTTTATCGTTCACTTTTCTGTTTTTTAATCTATCGTTTATTTATTCCAGTTCACCTTGCGACTAGACAAATTTTGCATGATTACGGCTGGCACGAAACAAAAACGACATTCAATGAGAGAACGCTTCATTTATCGAGAAGGATTTTGCACGAGAAAATGAATTATATCGATCGAGGAAAACCCACCTTCAGTTTGCCTTTGTTAAATGCACAGGCGCAGGTCTGCATGGCAGAGTGGCCCACGTCAATAAACACAACATTCCTGGGCTTTTCCTCTGGAGTTGGAAGGTCCTGTTTGTAGATTCCTGGTCACGAAAAGATAAAGAATTATAAGAACCTCTGCTATGAAACACTACCTACAAATCAGATGCTGAGAAATTTATGTATATATATATATATATATATATATATATATGTGGTTATCTTGGTTAAATCTAAAACCCTCTCACTTTTTACCATGCGAGTACATAACAATTTTTTCTGACTACTCATCTTGCATCGGCAGATTTGGGATTGCTTTTTTTAACTAGCTTTCATTAACACACTTCATGACAGTTACCGCCCCTTTATGTTCCCCTGGTCTTTTCCCCTGATTCAGATCGGGTGTTTTTATGACATAATAACATTTTCTAAAGGGAAAAAAAACTTATTGACTTTTCTGTAATTTCAAGACAAATTGCCACTTTGGGTTCCCACGAGCAAAAATAACTCGCCATCTTCCAGTTTAAAATATAAATAAGAAAAGCCGTGTTGAATTGTAAAAAAAAAACAGAAAAACAAAAAACACGTGAGGCCAAGTGATGAGGAGGCTTTTATAAACAGCCTCCTGCTAACCCAACATCCCCCAACTTTCCGATAAGGCCAAAACAAAATATAGGTGTGGTTACCGTTACATGCTGAAAAAAAATAGAGTAGGTAAGTAGGGAAAACATGTTATTTTATTGAAACATTTTATTTACGAACCATGTCCGAAGGATGTGCGTTGTGCCCTTTGAAGCAGGAACTGTCCAATTCATATTTTTTTTATTTTTTTTTTACTATAAAGAAAATTGACAATAAAATGTTTAGGGTCGCTGGGAATAAATAGGGTCGGTCGGGAAACGGTGACCACACCTATATTTTGTTTTGACCTAATACAACAGCTAGTTGTAACCCACAGGGAAAACGAAAGCAACTGTTCCCTCCTGTGATTGCCCCCCTTCAATCTAATGCCCGGAGGGTCGTTGCCCCCCAAAATAGCCTTTATATTAGTCTCAACATTAACTTTGTCTTCTAAACAATTGAAAGAAACATGCGTAAAGTTACCAGTTTCTCATAATATGCAATGTGTAGAGGCCCGACCTACGAGAAAAAGTCAAGACTAATGTCAAGACTAATTTGGTTTCTAACAACAGTCCCCTGCTGCATCGGACAGAGTGGATAAAGCACCTCTCTGCCTGACAGTGGCCAACCCCTAGCGAGAGAGTAGCAAACCTCCGAGTCAGCGAGCGAGTGAGAGAGCGAGTACTCACCATAAGCGAGGGCGGTGGCCGTTGTCTCGTTCATCAGCTTGAGACAGTTGAGACCGGCGATGCGACTCGAGTCGAGCATCGCTCGCCGCTCCGCATCAGTGAAGAAGCTCGGAACCTGCGACGACGAGACGACGGTCACGCGAGTGAACGGATGCTGGTTAAAGATGAAGGAGAATAGCAAGAGGGAACGACATGGGCTTTACAGCAGTGGATGGGTGCTGGTTAAGGAGGAGGATAGCAGGAGGACAGCAGGACGTGACTTCTTGATGCGGGAACGACAGGGCCTTTTACAGCAGTGGGTAGGCGCGTGCTGGTTAAGGAGGAGGATAGCAGCGAGGAACGACATGGCGCTTTACAAGCAGTGGCGTGGTCGCTGCTGAGTTAACGCAGCGAGAAGATAGCAGCGAGGACCCGCAGGAGCGAACTTACATGGCTTTACAGCAGTGGGTGGCTGTTTAAGGAGGATTGATAGCAGAGGGCGAACGACATGGCTTATACAGCAGTGGCGTGCCGCGTGCTGCTATGGAGCGATAGCAGGCAGCGGAACGACATGGGCTTTACAGCAGTGGTGGGTGCTGCTTTAAGATGGAGGAATAGCGGAGGGAAACGACGATTGGGGGGCTGTGTACGAGCAGGTGGGTGGGGTGCGGTGTTAAGAGGCGCAGGATTAGCAAGGACTAGGAACGACATGGGCTTTACAGCAGTGGGTGGGTGCTGGTTAAGGAGGAGGATAGCAGGAGGGAACGACATGGGCTTTACAGCAGTGGGTGGGTGCTGGTTAAGGAGGAGGATAGCAGGAGGACAGCAGGAGGGAACGACATGGGCTTTACAGCAGTGGGTGGGTGCTGGTTAAGGAGGATGATAGCAGGAGGACAGCAGGAGGGAACAACATAGGCTTTACAGCGATGGTGGGTGCTGGTTAAGGAGGATGATAGCAGGAAGCCAGCAGGAGGAACAACATGGGCTTTACAGCAGTGGGTGGGTGCTGGTTAAGGAGGATGATAGCAGGAGGGAACGCACATGGGGGCGGTGTAGGCAGCAGGGTGGGGGTGTGGGTGGCTGGTGTGGTTGAAGGAGGGGGATGACAGCAGGGGGTGAAAGACGACGGATGGGGTGTTTGACGAGCATGGTGGGTGGCTGGTTAAGGAAGGAGGATAGCAGGGAGGGCGAACGACGATGCGGCTGTTTACAGCAGTGTGCCGGTAGGGTGCTGGTTAAACGGAAGGAGCGATAGCAGGATCTGGCGAACGGGACATGGGCTTTACAGCAGTGGGTGCACGGGTGCTGGTTAAGGATGAAGGAGGGAAGCAGACGGCACTGACCAGAGGTCCAGCATCCTGTGTGGGTGTTGGTTGAAGATGAAGAAGGGAAGCAAGAGAAGAGCAGGTGGGATTGAATGACATCATGAGCTTCACCATCATGCATGGGATAAATGTTGGAGGATAAAAGCAGGATACAATGACCAGGGCTTCAACATCCTTTCGCACCCTAGCACAGAATTCGCACTCATTTCGGAACCACACAAATCGTGCAAACGTGATAGATAGCACAACACTACCACCACCACCACCACCACCACCACCACCACCACCTCAAGCTACTACTACACATTTCCCCTGCGACTTCACACGTAAAGATTCCACGACGAATCGCGGGGAGTGCGCGCGTTGGGACTTCTTCCAACACATACCGAGATGACGCAGTCGTTCACTTTGGCTTTGAGCCCCGACTCTGTTACGTCCTTCAACTTGGTAAGCATCATGGCCATGATCTGCTGAGGCGAAAACACCTGCTCCTCACCCAGGTACTGCACCTGCAAACACACACGAGACACACGCTCTAGCAGTAGCAGTGTTTCTTCTGAGGGAAAATTAGACAAAGGAGGTAATGGCCAGTTTCGGAAAAAAACGCATGATGGATTCAAAGGCCGTAAGGACACATGCGGACGCTGCAGGTGGACAAATATGCCAGAAGCACATGGTGATCAATTTATTTTTGGGTTGACACTATTTTGATAACGGCAGGTAAATGCAGGAATATTGTCACAACGGCGATGTTAAATTTGACAGTGGCGGTGCGCCACTGTGCCTCTTATGTATAAGAAACCCTGACTGGAGACCATCCCGGCTGTCGTCGCCGTGGCAACGACATCAACACTCTCTCAACGAGTTGCCAGGAGGATCGGGAGAGAACTCTCGTGACTCATAAAAGTTTTAACGGCTATTACAAATTTGGCCGAGCACTGGGAGCATTTGTCAGTGTTGATGCACAACGTTAGAATCAATGTCAAGATCAATTTAGCATTTTCCAATACTCAGTGACTCTATTATCAGGAGTGTATAATACAGACTCCTGCTACGCTAGCATTGGGGTGCTACATCTTTAGACTATTACCAAGAAAAACCGACTTTCATGAAAATCAAACACAAAACACCGTACCCATAAATAATCACCGTACATCTATATAGATAATCGCCTTAATCAAATTAACGCAATTAGAATTTTAGAAAGCAATATCTATCTATATAACTCCTTTAATATATGTTAACGCAAGAATAATGTAGCGAGTTGTTAGTGGGCTCTACGCTCATACCAAATTTGTCAAACTTAAACAGAGCATTCACGTTCTGTTATCAACCCCTCTTACACACCCCACCTCCCACATACACACACGAACTGTACAAACTAAACATCACATGTACAGAAATATGTGAGAACGACTCCCTGCAACAAATTTTGATGATTCTGCGCGAAATTAGATCTTAATGACCTCATCAATCGTTACAACTATACAAGAGTAGCTGACAAAGGGATTTATGCGCCGAACCGCACTACTCCGCCGTTTCAGTGAAGCACGTCCACAGCTAGAAAGGCTTGCCACCTGGCACGATACCGCGTTCCCATTATCGGCAATTTCGCCCTTATTACATCCGAGATTGATGTATGCGGGTGGTGCCTGCTACGTGGCCACCCACAATCTATTCCTCGTTCACCGCAAACCCTGACAGGTCGGTCAATACCGCGCCAAATAACAAATATCGATATTCCCTAAATTCTAGCGAATAAATTTTAGCGAGTAGATGTTGGTTGTTGCTGAGACGGAATTCCAGCAGTCTGTTACCGTAGTGAAACGTAGGGATAAGATCATAACTATTTTTGCAGTTCAAATTGTTTAAGTCTATGGTTTTAATTTGTAATTTTTCAGCATATATATATCGCAAGTTTTTAGCTGGTTTCAATTCTAGTCAATTTACAGGACGATTACAGTACATATAGTCACTAAGTCTATGATTGCATTAATCAAATGTTATAAACCACAATTCAAAACCTGATAAGTGAAATGATTACTATAGCCTGGTTAAACACCAATCTTCCAGCTAATGGATTACTTCACAGATCGAAACACGAGCCCCCCCCCACCGCAATCAATAAATGAATGTAGTGTGAATTATTCCCGACTAGACTGGTTACCCAAATAATTTTCGATACAGCCACAGTTTCCTAAAAATTGTTTCCATTATACCAGCATCTATGCTCACAGATCCCAGCTGTGTAAGAATCAGACACCATCTATCTTGTAAACTGCTTCCCGCTACTGTGGCTTTCTGTTCATGTGCTGAATGACGTGCACTGGAACTTAGTGTGCTAGGCACGAGGCACATGGATACTCGTACAGTCAGGGATGGAGCACGCTGGCTCGCATAGATTACCCTTCATCTTCTAATTTGTTTAAACTGCTGATTTTAGTGACTTTTTGTGATGTCGGTAGTCTCAATTTTACGTAAATTAACGTAGTTTAGCAACGTTTTTATAGCACAGCATCGTGAAAGCTGAATATATGTGTAGTACCGTAAATACGTTACTGTAAAACTAAATTTCCAAAAAAAAATTATAGCAAATAAAAAGCTCATAAATAATAAAGTCAACACCACTTAATATCATTCGAACATAACTAACGTGTGGCGATCATTCAAGCTTCGTCCAAGTGTGATGCACGACCAATACAGGTGTTCAACTCACACGAGGCTACACTGTGTGCGGCATGCACGACAAATACAGGCGCTTTCAACTCACAAGCGAGGCCGCCCTACACTGTAGTGCGGGTGCTACGACCAATACAGGTGCTTTCAACTCACAGCGAAGGCTTACCACTCCGTGTGCGGCATGCACGACCAATACAGGTGTTCAACTCACAGCGAGGCTACACTGTGTGCGGATGCCACGACCAATAAAACAGCCCCGCTGTTCAAACTCCACAGCGCCACTGGCTACACTGGTGTGGCGGAATGCACGACCAATACAGCTGTGTTCAAAACTCACAGCGCAGGCCTACCACTGTGTGCGGTCATGCACGACCAATACAGGTGCTTCAACTCACAGCGAGGGGCCTAACACTGTGTGCGGTCATGCACGACCAAATACAGGATGTTCAACTCACAGCGGAGGCTACACTGTGTTGTAGATGCCATGACCAGTACGCGTGGCTTCAACTCACAGCCGAGGCGTACACTGTGTGCGGAAATCATGCCACGACCAATACAGGTGGCCTTCAACTCACAGCGAGGCTACCTGTGTCGGTCTTATGCACGACCGAATACAGCGTTGTTCAACTCACAGCGACGGCCTACACTGTGCTGCGGAAAATGCGACGCGCACCAATACAGGTTTTCCAACTCACAGCGAGGCTACACTGTGTGCCGGCAATACCATGCACACCAATACAGAGTGTTCAACTCACAGCGACGCTACACTGTGTGCGGATGCACGCACCAATACATGGATGTTCAACTCACAGCGAGGCTACACTGTGTGCGGAACATGCACGACCAATAACAGGTGTTCAACTCACAGCGAGGCTAACACTGCCTGTGCGGCAGGACGACCAATACAGTGTGTTCAAACTCACAGCCGAGGCTACCACCCTGTGTGCGGATGCCAGACCATATACAGGCGTTCAACTCACAGCGCCAGGCTACACTGCTGGCGGCATGCATGACCAAATACAGGCTGTTCAACTCACAGCAGAGGCTTACACTGTGTGCCGGATGCACGACCAATACAGCGTGTTCAACTCACAGCGCATGGCTACACTGTGGGCGGATGCACGACCAATACAGGCCCGTTCAACTCACAAGCGAGGCTTACACTTGCTTGTGCCGGTCATGCACGACCAATACAGCGTGTTCAAAACTCACAGCCCGAGGGCTGCCACTGTGTGCGGATGCACCGGCCAATACAGAGTGTTCAAACTCACAGCCGAGGCCTTACCACTATCGTGTGGCGGCAATGCACGCACAATAAACAGGGGGTCAACTCACAGCGAGGCTACAAAACTTGTGTGCGGCATGCACGCGCAATACAGTGTTCAACTCACCAGCCCGCAGCGCTACACTGTGTGCGGCATGCACGACCAATACAGGTTCAACTCACAGCCGAGGCTACACTCGTGTGCGGCTATGCACGACCAATAAAGGTGTTCAACTCACACTCACAGTTGCAGCGCTACACTGTGTGCGGTATGCACGACCAATACTAGGTGCATTCAACTCACAGCGCAGGCTACACTGTGTGCGGAGCACGGACAATACAGGGTGTCTAAACACAGCGAAGCTACACCACACACAAGCTGCTGTGCGGCATGCACGACCAATACAGCCGTGTTCAACACACCACGCCGAAGCCCTACACTGTGTGCGGATGCACGACCAATACAGGTGTTCAAACTCACAGCGCCAGGCAGGACACTGTGTGCGCGAACATGCCACGGACCAATACAGGTGTTCAACTCAACACGCGATGGATACACTGTGTGTGGCCATGCATGACCAATACAGGTGCTTCACTCACAGCAAGAGGATACACTCGTGCTGCGCGATGCATGACCGATACAGTGCCGTTCAACTCACAGCGAGGCTAACACTGTGTGCGGCTATGCCACGACCAATACAGGCTGTTCAACTCACAGCGAGGCTACACTGCTGTGCGGCCATGCACGACCAATACAGGCTGTTCAACTCACAGCCGCAGCTACACTGTGTGCGCGATGCCACGCACCAATACAGGGGCTTTCAACTCACAGCCCTGAGGCTACACTGTGTGCGGAATGCACGACCAATACAGGTGCTGCAACTCACACTGAGGCTACACTGTGCCTGCCGCGCATGCATGGACCAATAACAAGGTGCTTCAGACTCACAGCCGAGGCTACACGTGCTGTGCGGGATTGCACGACCAATACAGGGTGTTTAACTCATCAGCCGAGGATACACTGTGCTGCAGGATGCATGACCCAATAACAGGTGGCCTTCAAAACTCACAGTGCAGGCTACACTGTGCTGCGGACATGCATGACCAATACAGGCGTTCAAACTACAGCGTGGGCCCCTACACTGTGTGCGGCCTCACATGCCCCACGACCAAAACAGGTGTTAACAACTCAACAGCGCAGGCTACACTGTGTGCGGCATGCACGACCAATACAGCGTGTTCAACTGCACAGCGAGTACACTGTGTGCGGCATGCACGACATATACCAGGTGCTTCAACTCACAAGCGAGGCTACACTGTGCTGCGGATGCAACACCAATTACAGTGTTCAACTCACAGCGAGGCCTACACTGTGTGCGGATGCGAGAGTCGACATCGTCGTCCGACACATGAAGCCGCGACACGCCTACCTTCACGCCGGTCGAGCCGTCGGGCTGCCGCACAATGTCGTACGGCAGAAAGTCCTTCTCTCGCTGCAGTCTCGGATCGTCAAAGTTTCTCCCGATGAGCTTCTTGAAACCCCAGATGGTGTTCTTCAGGTTTGAGACCATCTGTTGCTTCGCCGCGACGCCCATCGTCCGATTCTTCTCGTTAAGCGAAATGACGGCCCTGAAACATTTTACGCGCGACTGTCGTGACGTTTCACACCCCCGACTGCCGTCGTCACGTTTTACGGACGAAGAAAGCCAAACCAAGGACAAGTTTTAATCAGGACGTATGAAAGAAACCTTTGTATGCACAATGGCGAGACACATGAACACCTTGGCTTGTTTTTTATCTGGTTGCTAACTGCTACCTTGATTATAGCCGCGTTCACACGTAGCAAGAAATTCAGTATTTAGCGTTCACACGAGGCAAAATGCGCGGTCTAAGAAATACGGAATCTAAATGGATTCGGTATTTGTTGAAATACGAGGCTTCCCAGAATGAGATGCCGAATTACTTGCCGTGCTTGAGAAATTCCGAATGTCTTGGACCCCGTATTTCTCTCGTGTGAATGCTAAATACCGAATTTCTGAAGCCGCGTATTTTATAGAATGGTCCGCGCTCAACAGTTAGTCAGTTACACTCGCATTACGCGAGTAGGTCGAGCCCTGGACCAGTCTACGTATTTTATCGGAAGTTGCTGTGCACTGATTGTTTATTTCGCATTGTTCGCTTGATTGTTCGCTTGAACGCATTGTGTTTTTTTCAGTGTACTAAAGCAGCTGGCAGCAATAATATATATAAGCTGCGTTCACACGAGGATAAAAGTTGCGTTCACACGCTAAAATATACGCGGCTTATTTAGCCAGGGCTTGCTTAGCCGCGAATATACGCGGCTTGCTAAGCGCGGAATCATATTCCGCGCCAAATAAGCCGCGTATATTCGGCACCACGCTGGCCGCGTATTGTCTGTCGTTGTCATTGTCTGTCATTGTCATTCGAATTGCGAAACAGTAGCGTGCTCACCTAGACTGCTACCCGTTCGCTGCACGACGTTAGTGTAGCGTGTGGAACTGTCGACCGGGTACCAGTCTATATTATTCCTGGCTACCTAAGCCTCGAATCTCGTGTATCTCGTGTGAACGCATTTTACCAGAACTTAGCACCAACTAAGTACGGTACCAGCTAAGCCGTGTATACGTGTGAACGCAGCTATATATATATATATATATATGACAATGTATGTATTTTCTTGTAACCACATCCTTAGAACTATAAAATACATATATAATATATTATATTATATGGCAAAAAATTAACCAATATAAACTTGAACGTTTTTGAACTTTTGAACTTCATAAGTAGTAAGAGATGTTATCATTTCCCATGCAGTCCATATCAGTCCAACCTTTGCTCAAACATGACATCGCCTGTTGTTTAACAGAAGCACACTGTCTACTAACAAGAATGTCGCTGATAACTATCGGAAAACTGCTCAGTGGTTACAGGCACCATGTGACAACAGACACAACTGCAATAATGACTAATACAATGGTCGGTGGCATTCTATTTCTAATACAATAACGACACTAACGATGGGATTCATGTGATTTCCTACTTCTCCTTTTGCTTTCCCTTTGTATAGAGGGTTCCGTGACTTGCACTAACTATATTTTGGATTTGCTGGCAGATTTCCAAAGTTTTATCAATATTCCATAAAAAAATTCAAATCAAATTTGCCAGTATAATGAGTTGTGAGGATTAGCAACGCTAGTTCATTCATTTTTTACACCACTATTTTACTCGACCATTTAAGCCCCGCTACTTCAGCAGAAAATTAAGTTTGTCAGAAGTTGACAAGTGGTGTAGTTTATTATGTAGGTAGTGTACACGATGTATCATGTAACACACTAACTGGGTATGACCGTGATTATCTAATTGAATTTGAGGATGTGCTTATACTCAGTTTATAGACCGAATACTGATACCGAACAAATATGAACGATAAATCCCCAAATTTAAATGATTAGATAATGAGTGTGGGACACTACATCACTACCTGGTCATGTTATACAATTCAGACACTAACCTATGCATTCAATCACTGAATCGTGTGGCATTGCCATTGGACCACAGAATAGGGGCCTAGAAGTTAGATAGCATAGCAACAATTAGATACAATAATGTAACCCAACAAGAGTAGGGTTACAACGCGAGCCTATTCTTTTCTTTGGAGGAGCCCCTGAGTGATTCACTCAGGGCGGTTTTATGGTGCGTTTTTCGAGACTACAACTTGCAAACTGGGTTTATTCTAAACACGAACCTTTCTCCGCTATCCTGGGACTTAGTAATACTATGTATCACAATACTCTGTATTAAACTATTATAACCTGTTACAAAATTTCGAAGTGACGAGCGGCGATATTACGAGCGCCATTTCTGTTGACCTGTGACGTACAGATTCCCAATGCGCATAGTGTTCGGCTAACTTCGTCATGACGTCACGACTGACAGCAGGCATCCAATGATACATTCGATCTTGGAGTCGAAGTTAGCCGAATGCTATGCGCATTGGGAATCTGTACGTCACAGGTCAACAGAAATGGTGCTCGAAGTATCGCCGCTCGTCACTTCGAAATTTTGTAACAGGTTATAATAGTTTAATACAGAGTATTGTGATACATAGTAAGTCCCAGGATAGCGGAGAAAAGTTCGTGTTTAGAATAAACCCAGTTTGCAAGTTGTAGTCTCGAAAAACGCACCATAAAACCGCCCTGAGTGAATCACTCAGTGGCTCCTCCAAAGAAAAAGAATATGCTCGCGTTGTAACCCTACTCTTTTTAGGTTACTTTGTCATTATTGTATCTAAGCAACAATACTCAACCAAGAGAAAAGCACTACGTTTTACCTCATATTGGCATTATTGCATTACAGCAAAAATTAATGACAAATACTTACGGCGTAGACCGCTGACTGTAATCATTTGCGACTGTCTCTATTCCACCGCCTCTAGCCACTGCAATATAGTTGCTCTGGTATCCGCAGTCAAACCCCACGACGGACATGATTGCGAGTTGATTCTCCTTTCAGTCTCTCTTGTACTTGGCTTGCTGACGAAAACGTGTACACTGATCCGGACAGCTACTCGTGGACGTAAATGGTATTTGGAAGAGCGGTTACACAGAAATTTACACGATTATGCCGTTATACGACAATATAACCTAGAAGACATCTAGAACTATGCAAATATCAAACGAATCAATGAAACAATTTTTACGAATATTCCAGAACCGGCGTGTTAGCAAAACGGTAATCCTGCTTTCCGTCAATGTACACTTACGCAATCAATCGATAGTGCTGCCAGGAGAGTGCTAAACTCGTCTCAAAACCTAGCATGAAAAATGTTTTTTTGCGAGCAAACTCCTTATAGTTATCACTAAACAAAAACTAAATTATCATTTTTCGTGATTGTTTAATTTTAATGCTTAGTAAATCTTTATTTTGGGGTCAAAACCATTATTGATATGTTCAGTTCAGTGTCATACCAAACCGGATGTCAAGAAACGCATGCAAGTAAATCTGGTCTGAATCTGATGAAGTTTGGTGAGGTAAATAAGTTTGAAACCTGTGCCAGTAGTAGTAGTAGATTAGTTTAAAACCTACGATATAGGAAACCTTGTGCTAAGGTAGGTTTCTTATCGATTTTTATGGTTGAAACTACAAAGTAGGAAGTAATCTCAGCGTAGTCACGGTACTCGGTAGTGACAGTGTCAGAACGAGAATGAGTTGTTGACGTTGGCGCTGCTGCCAAGCGAAGCGTGTGGAGTGGAGGCGTGAAGGTCTTGAACGCTTGCTTACAGATGTTGATACAGCCAGGGACATTACTACAGTATGACTGGTACAAGAGCTGGGAGGGAAGAGAATCTCTGCTGTCCATACTGCACAGAAACATGCACCACAGGAAACTATTTGGTAGGTATAAATGAGACAAGGTCTGCCAGAATATATTTTTATTTACGCAGTGGCTACGCGTCCGGAACCGGTCGCCTAACCTCCAGGCTACGCGTCCGGACATCCACTCACACACAGTGATCGTGCCACTCGCGTACACGCGTGATTGCGCAACGGGACGCTCTGCTGCCGTCTATCCTTTCATCCGTTCTCTCTCGCTCTCTCTCTCTCTCTCTCTCTCTATCACACACCTCTCTG